GGGCACGGACGCAGGCAGGCAGCAGGGAGGTGTGGGGCCTCAGGGAAATACATCTCTAGGGAACACTTCTGCAGGCTGCAGCCCTAGTTCTCCTCGCCTCCCCCACTCCAGCCCTGCTTTCCCTTCAGGGCCCGCTGGGTCTGGGAGCTGCTCATCTGGAGCTGGGTGGACCAGATTTGCATCGGAAGCAAATCCCTTGCTCCATGGGATTCAGACAGCCCTGGTGGCGCTTCTGAGTAAGGAAGTAGCTAGGAAGCCACACCAGCGTGGGAGCATCTCCCCCAGAGTGTCCATGCATCATCTCAATGTGCAATGAGGGTCTGTGTCTCCTAGGTACCACCCCCCACTGTCTAGAAGTTCCCATGTTGTGCCTGCCACCCTCCACATCCCCGATCCTGGATTTCCCAGTGACTTTGCACTGGTGTTAGCCTCGAACTTCAGCTCCCTGTTCTCCAACACCAAAGATGAACCCCACAAACTGCTCTCTGACTAGGTCAAGAGGGTTTTTCCCAGTTCCTAACTCAGTGCCTCGGGAGCTGGTCTGCTTGAACCCCAAGTGACTTAGAGTCTTGGTGACCAGACTTGTTCCCTGAGAGCACGGGTGGGGGAAGCCTCACAGCTGAACTTCACCTCTACCTGTGGCTCTGTGCCCGGGAAGCTCCAGGGCCCTGGTCTCAGCCCCATTGTCAGGACAGGGTTTTGGATAACTCTCAGGTCTTGCCCCGGGCAGTCAGGGCTTGAAGATTCTGCTGGCAGGTGGGAAAGGATAGGATCTCTGGGTCCCTCTCCCAGGTTTGAGCTATTGGAGGATGCCCCTCTTTGCCCCATGAGACCAGTTGGGCCCCACTGCTCTTCCTCTCCACTGCCAAGTGCCTTTGGGGCCTCTGGTGCCTGGCCAGAGGCACTGAGCACCAGCCCAACTCCCCTCTCATTTCTGCCATTCTCATCTTTATGGAACTATGCGCCAGCCCAGGCGGCCTCCTTAGGCCAGAGGCTGTAGACCCTAGGATACAAACATGGCAGCAGGACCTTGCATCAACCTCACACCTTGCATCAACATACTCCTTCAGGCCTTATGTTTCTGGGCAATGGGTACAATGCAGGACCCTCTGGGGCTAATAATATGCAGATGGGCAGTCTCTGGGACTGACCCCAGTACCTCTCACCACCCACAGCCCATTTCCACTACAGGCCATTTGGTCCCCCGCCCCCCCCCCCCCCCCTTGCCTGAGACCCAGTGGGGACTGTGGTTGGAGACTAGTGGAGGGGACAGAGCAGATCCCTGTCAGCAGGGGACCTGGGGCTGGTGGGTGGGTATCTTCCCCGATGGTTCCCCTAGCCCTGCTGCATGATGCTCTTGGAATTCTCCCCAAGAAGTTATTCCACCCCCACCCCCCGGTGGGGGGGCCTTATCAGGGAATTCCTTTTTTATCTGCACTTTGGGTTTTAGTTTTAAAGCTCCATCTGGTACGTCTCTCTCCTCTTAAGGTGTGCGGAGAGACCGGGTGAGGGCTGCCCTGGCTCGTCATTGCCCAGTCTGCTCCTCAGGGAGAAGGGGCTGTTGGAGACCCACCCTCCTCGGCCACACTGGCTCAGCACTGCGCACCCCCGGGTGCCTCCCAGAGAGGGCCTGCCCCCTCCTGGCCTTCCCACATCGCAAGGGACACTGCAGAAGACACCAGATCCTTCACCGCTTGGTGGAAGGATCTCTGCCTCGATGTGTGTGTGTATAAATATAGATAGATGATAAAGATCTATTTTTATTCTGAAATTCTGTTAGAAAAAAACTAAACGAGAAAAGCAAATGCCGTTGATTTGCCTCGGGGTGCCCAAAGATTGGTAGTCAGTTACTGGGAAGAGCACAGGCACCGAGTGCATTTCAGCTGACAGCATTCCTCCGGAGGAAGCCTCAGAGGGTTGGGCCAAGTTGTGGGCAGTTTGAAATAAAGGTCTTGAATAAAGAGACCCTTGGAAGGAATACGGCGTGTTCATTTCCTCCAACAGGTACCCCAGAACAGGCCTTGAGCGCCTAGTGAGGAGGGAGCGGTGCAGGAAGAGAGGCCTGAGAAGTCACTGGGGCAGGGTCCACAAGTGGGGAGGGGTGGGGAGGAGGAAGGGGCCCAGGAACAGACTGGTGGGAGTGGGGGAGGGGGTGGAGCAGAGAGGGTTAGGCAGGTGCTGAAGCCCAGAGGTGGGCGGAAGGAGGCAGAGGGGGGAGCTGCGTGGTGAGGATGCCCGCCACCTGCATCCTGATCAGCCGCCTCGTTGTGAAGTCCACAACACTACGCTCCTAAAACAGGTCACACCCATTCCAGTCTACTCCATATCATATGAACAGGCATCACAAGTTTGAAGGATGACTGAAAGTGTGCATGGAAGCTCTTGTTTTCTTCGTGTGCCCGAAGGGATCATTGGGTGCACCCCCAGAGCTGCAGCCCTACCCACTTGGAAGAGAGCTGCTCTAGAGGCTTCCCCGAGGGCTTGGCCTGGCCCCCCGCAAGAACTTCCCACTCCCACGGTCTCTTGGGGGTCTGGCCGCCTCTACCCCCACCCTCAGCCCTATTCTTGGGGGGATGGCCTTGCTGTTCCAGGGAGGAAGGGCCCTTTTTGGAGCTGGTGGGGGCCCAGCTTCCCTTTCACTGTGATGCTTTAGGAAAACACACTCAGTCTTCTTTCTCACCCTGACCCCCAGCTCGAGGACCCTTGCAGTGACAATTAAAGACTGCCTGAGGCCATAGGTGGTGTCACATGGTGTGCTCATCCTACAAAGAAGTGAATGGAGGAAGGGAGGGGGAGGCCTTCCTACTCCAGACACGAGCTGACCTCGGTCAGATGTTGGAGAGTCAGGCAGGAGGGGAGACCCAGGCGTTTCCTGACCCCCCAGTTCCCGTCTGCAGACACCCCTTGTTCACACACCCCGCGTCCGATCCATGGTGCCGGAACAAGGGCTGGGGTCTGGGGACAAGACTCAGGGTTGCACTGTCGCCCCCATGGACCTCCACAGCACGCCCCAGCACGCTCTAGGACATAGCCCTTCAGTATTAATAGTGTTTATCTGCAGGCATAAATATGAATGGAATTTCAGCCACCAACACCCAGACTCCTTTCTGATACCAAAGTGCTCATTGTTGCATTCGCTCTCCCACTGGGCACTCAGATGTCATCACCATGCAAATATTTCTGGGCCTTGAGAAGCTTCCAGCTAAACGAACCCCCCCCCCCACCAGCCCACGCTGCCAGCCCTTGACGGCAGCCCATAATCGGGGCCTCACACACAAGCGACCTGTGGGACCAGCCCCCAGGAGTCTGATCTGAAGGATGTGGAGGCCAGGAAGGCAGTGATGGAGACAGTATACTGTCTGTCCCCAGCCAGAAACTCCTTGGAGTTTTTATCAGACTCTTAACAGTTACAAAGGACAGAGACCACTGGAGGTACCTCCAGGAGAGAGACAAGGGGGAGCTTCCAGGGCCCGAGAGCAGTAACTGCAGGGCATGGACCTGGGGCGAAAGCAGCCGCAATCTGGCTTCTCTGACGGAAATCTGCAGCCAGCCCGGGCTCCGAGGCACAGCTCTCCCGCAAACTGGCTCATCTCGTAGCATGGAGGGGGCAGCCTTTAGCAGTGTTCTGCCTGCGCTCCACAATGTACACGCTTGTCACGTTGCCCTTTTGGTAGTCAACAGCCCTGGCAGGTGGGCTTGGTCCCCATGAAAGTGGAGAACTCACGGTGCCTAAGAACCTAGGTCCTGGCTGACAGCCCATGCCGGCCACAGCGCCCCCCCCCGCCGAGGACCGGGCACAGCGCCCACTCGCCGGCCCTGGAGAGAGCCAAGGTAAGTGCCCGCCCCGTGGCAGCGCCCTTGACCCCTCTGCGGTGCACGGGAACGCGCATCACCGGGGGGTGACACGCAGGTCCGGGGGTGCCGCAGTGACACCCCACTGCCTGGAGGCCTGGGCCCCGGCTTCGGTGAGGAGGAATGGGTGATGCTCAGTGCTGCAGCCGTAGAGGACACGCCTTAAGCGAAGGTCACTCAAGAGGCTGGAAGGTCCCCAACTACCAGGGGGGTTCAGAAGATGCCAGGCAGCCCGGAAACATGACAGGCTCACCACAGGAGCTGTGTGTTGGGCCCTGTGATGCCACTGCCCTGCCTGCCGGCTGACGGGACCATGGGTGGGCTCCACCGCCCAGGCTCCTCGTCTGTGGACAGGCCCACAGCCTGGGACACGGCAGGGGGCCCCCAGACTGGTGCTGTCACCATTCTCCTGTTCTCTCTCACTCTCTCCCCCTCTTATTCTCTTCCCCCCTTAACTGTCATTGTGGACTTTTTTTTTAAGATTTTATTTATTTGAGAGAGGGAGAGAGAGAACATGAGAGCAGGGGGGAAGGGTAGATAGAGGGAGAGGGAGAGGGAGAAGCAGGCCGCCCACCGACCAGGGAGCCTGATGCGAGACTCCATCCCAGGACCCCGGGATCATGACCTGAGCCGACGGCAGACGCCCAACGACTGAGCCACCCAGGCGCCCCCATTTGGGGACTTCTTTTAAAAACATGTATTATTATTTTTTTTTCTGAACCGTCTGAGCATACCCCTCTACCCCTCAATACTTCAGTGTGTTTGCAAAGAACAAAGGTCATTGTCTTAGGTGAGCACAGCACGGTTAACAAATGAGGAGATTTAACACTGACCCGCTATTTTGTCCCCCATCCCGTCCATACGCCAGTTGGCCGCTCGTGTTCTTTGGAGCGCTGCTTTCCTCCAGCCCCAGAGCACGCGCTCCACTTGGTTGTCCTATCTCCTATCTCTTTGCCTTTCATGACGGCGACATCGCTAAAGTCCGCCGAGGGTCTGGCCTCTGAGGCAGGAATGTGGCACCGAGGACGGGGGAAGCAGCCGGTGATGGAGCAGAAGCCGGAAAGAGCA